CAATAGATACATTTATCGAAGAAAATCTTCTTAGTCTACGAAAGAAAATTCAGCATAAAATACAACTGGTTTACTTTGACTATGAAGAAGAAATCATAAAACACGAGTATCTTAAACAGAATCCGAATGATACTCAAGTAAGTTAAAGAAAAATTCTGTTTCAAACAAAGTATCTTAGTTGTTTCTGTTTCTCCTACTAGATAAAATTAGCAGAAGAACTCTGTACTGCTAAACAACAAGAAATACTGAGCAAATATACATCCGAACTTCTCGATAAACAACTTATTCATTATAATGATTCATACAATCTTGAACGTTTACCTATTGCTCGCGTTCCTTTATTTGATTCGATTGGTAACGCCAATGTTCAACAACAATTCTATTCACATTATAAACAAATTATTGAACAAACAAAGGAAGATATGCTTAATCTCTACACACAGTCAGCTAGAACTCAAAAGATCCGTTATCAAAATGAATATAATGATAAAATGAAAAAAATTAGAGAAGAACAATATTTACTTCCAGATGAACAAAAATTAACTACAAAAATGATTGAAATAATCGAACAACATGCCCGTCTTATTGAAAAACGACTCAAATCTATTCACTATTTTAAACTTGAAAAACTTTCTATTCAATCATAAACATGAAACTATTTCCTTATTCTTTTATCTTAATTCTTATTCTCATTGTTCTTTTGTGATTTAATTGAAGATCTCTTACTTACATGTCTGGGTTTGTCATTTGTTTTTAGATTTTGATATTCAATTTTATTTTTAAAACATGAATGTCAATGCATCCAATCAACTGCCGTCACAATCTCGGCCGAGCATCAATCAACCATTACAACAGGCAACTGCAGAAGAAAAATGCAAAAAGCGTCATGGTAATAAAAAATTGCAGCGTTTCCGTCGCAGAAAACGCGCTCGCGGTTTTAGTGAAGAAAAAATAAGGAAAATGATTCAATCAGGGAAATATGTGAAGAAACAGAAAAGATCGAAAAATGTCACTACTACAACGAAAGCTCCTTCTCCAACAGAAATTTTAGTCACATCAGAACCGAAAACAGTAAGTGCTAATTTATAACAAATGAGAGTGTAATAAATTACAAAATATTTACTCTTGTATTTCTAGAAAAAACAAGAAATTCACAACAATCAGGAAAAATCTACTAGTTTTGCAAAGAAACGTAAAAGAGATATTTCTTCATTTGAACTTCATCGTCATTTGGTACCATCGACGAGTAACATAAATCTTCGTCCACCAGCACCTAAAAAAATGAAAAAAGTCATGTTCATCCAATCAATACCATCTGATAGTATTAGTGTGAATAAGAATTATCCGTAAGTCATCGTTTATCTTTTTCATTTCGTAAATAATTTAGTTAAGCTATAATATATTCTGACGATCTACCAGATTACCAGCGTATTTAACTCATTCACCATATTTAATCTTTCAAGCCTTACGGCAAGAATTTAATAGTGCAATAAATAAAAAAGTTGAACGAATATTTCTTCATGTACGCTTACAATTATTCGATCGTCAATATCGTCTCGAGCTTGATCAACGTTTATGGCAATCGTACTTAGATATTGGCCTCCAAGAAAAATTATGGCCTGTAAGTTATTTATTATAAGAATAACTTTAAATGTCAATTACATTTTCATTTACTAATATGTATTTTTGTTTCAGCGTTCATTGTATGAAATTACCAAGACTGATCAAGTAGATCTATGTGAAAATTATATTATGATACAATTAGCTATGATCGATGATCAATTAGAGCAATGTAATATGGAATTGGCTAGACAAGCGCAATCAACGATATCAATTCTATTACCAACACTCGATATTATCGATGCAAGTTTAAAAAATTATGTTTCCTTACAACAAAATTATTTAGTCGAACGCATGCAACATAAAATAATGAAATTAAAGGATGAGCTTTGTGATGAACAACTCTATCGAGATTTATTTTCTTACAATTTCAATACTGTTCAACGACAAATCATTGAACAGATCATTCATGTACGAACGACACAATTGCAAATTTACGAAGAATTTATGATGCTTGAACAACGTATTCTACATCAGTTTCTACCACCAAACTTTGATCAATTTGAAAAGATTACAGCTCCTGATATATATTGGCCATCGATTGCTGATCAGACACTTGTCGATATACGAACAAAACGTCGTACAAACTTGAAACGAGGAAAACGTAATTTACTCAATCTTTTTTATGCTGTCTATGAATATAAAATCAATGAATATCAAGTACACTATAAAGAAAATTTCAATCAATTAGAATTACAAAAATTCTCTACTACGATTCAAATCAATGGCATGTCTCTAATCGACTATTTCAAAGCTTATATGATACATCGTACTCAAACAACTATTGGTAATATATTTCAAAAATTCAATCACTTTCGACAGATCATTGCTCAACGTTATCAACGAGCATCAGCTGCCAAGACAATGGTTGGTGTGTCACCTGAAGTGATTGTTGATGTTCTTCATTGTCCTTATAAATCTGACGAATTATCTCACGTATCCTTAGGTAAGTATATCAAGACATATCTATGATTCTTATTCTCGATTGATAATTTTATCTACGATTACATTTCATAGGTCCAAACTATGCTCGTCCTAATCCAAGTGCTCTTCGTAAGTTGAAACATCGTGAAACTCAAATAGGACATCATCTGAAAGATATCACTGAGAAAGTTAAAAATCAAGTAAAGAACTACTGCAAAAGAGACGTACCAGTCCCAAGAATGACACGTTATTCTGAATTAGTTGAAAATTTACTTCGACAACATTATATGACTCCATTATCCTATGTTGATCGCATGCGCGCTGCACGAGAATTCAAATTAGTTAAATCTATTCGACGAAAGGCACAACATGCGAAACTTATTATACGTGTCTGCGATAAAGGTGGTGGTTTTCATATTGGTAGTAAAAGTGATTATGAAAGAAAAGCAGCTAAATATCGTGAAGATACAAAAGCCTATCAAGAATTATCATACAATCCATTGAAGGAAATATTCACTAATGTAACAAATGCACTCGATATTCTCAAGAATAATAAGCAATTACCACTCAAGGAATACAATCGTCTAATGCCAAAACCGGATCAAGTCAAATTATCTTACATGTATTTTAATCCAAAACCGCACAAAGTGAATAACTCTTTTTCCTTTTTTTTACAAAACGATTATCACAGTAAATATGTCATTTTATTTCTCATGTAGGAAGGAACACCATTGAGACCAATACTAAATACCATTAAATCAGTTACAAGATCTATATCTGATTTCTTAAATGAATTGATTCGACCTATTTATGATCAATATAATAAAGAGAATACAATTATTGATGGTGTGAATCT